TGTAAAGGACAAACATGCGAGAAAACACGCTTGTAAAGGCTCACAAACCTAAACACAAGAACACAAATTTTGCTTTTTCAACCCTCTGAACTCCAAAACCCTCCGACAGGTTTTTAGATACTTTTCACCTGGTTTACTTCGTCAACAAACACTTTCCTGAAAAGTTTCTGCTCTCGACTGGTAGTTTAAAGTCTCCTTCAACACAGCATGATGTTCATTTATTAAATTAGGTTTCCATTTAGTGGAAAATAGACGATAAAGCCGGAGATGTTTTCAGGCGTACGGAACATCTTTGAGTTCTCCATCAGATCAGTCGCTACATCTGGTTTAAAAGATAGAAAATAAAAACATTTCTACACAAATAACACCTCATTTGTATATTTAAACAAGTTAGGAATCAACTGGAGAAGATTCAGTGGTATTAGTTAAAACTTTGACACTATTCGCTCGTAGCGTCTCTTAATCGAAGACATCTCAAAGACTTAAGAGACTGAGAGGAAACTCCAACCAACTGGATCAATGAATAAATGCAGCACGGATCAGAACCAGAGAACAGAGGAGCCAGTTGTTGGAGATACATCCAGCTGATGGTGGAACATCTTTCTACATCTGATGGTGGAACATCTTTCTACAGCTGATGAGCAGAGCAGGGAGGAACAGTCTGGAAACATGGAGATAGTTCAACATCTGCAGGACGAGGAGACGACATGTTTTCTTGAGTCATGAGTCACTTTTTTAGCCATTTAGGAAATATAATTTTTTGGACGATTTTTGAGACACTTTGGACAAATGACGACTTATTTTGGACACATTTCGAGTAATTTCCGACAAGTTTTTCTCGTTGTCCACTGTTAAATTTAGCTGCTTCATTTCTACAAACTGACACATGGAAACAAACCAAAGTGTCCTGATGGAGAACTCAGTTAGCAAATTCACATTTAAGGTGGCTATCGTTAACACCTACTGACATTTTTTTACATAAATAATTAAAGATATTCAACCGTTTTAATAATTTCCAACTGTGTCAAACTGACAGAAGACATTTCTGAGTTCTCTCTCCGTCTTCATGGTTGTTCTGGTTCCATAGAGGACTTTATAAATGAACCACAAACGGCCCAAGCCTGTTTGGCGTTCAGAGGGTTAAACAGAAAACATGTAAAACACTTCAGCTGTGATTTATTAAAACACACAACTCGACTCAGATCTCGGTCCGAGCATCACGTAGCTTCAGTTTATCAGGTAATAATTCAGAGCTGCTCCTCAGATTTAACTGGCATTAAGACGTATGCGGTACTTTTTATTTTACGCTGTTAATTTCTACTAAATCACCTTTAAAGCATTAAACGAGGCTCGGCTGTTGGTGCTCGGCGGAAGAGGCCGAAAACATCTTTTAAGTCTCTTTTTCAAAACTTCGATCCAAAAGACTTTCATGAATGCTTAAAATCTGGTTCGATTTGTTCATTTTTTATGGATGCTTTTAGTCTTTTTAATCACTTTTGTTTCTGTTAAACAATCTGCACCTTCAGTGAGAAACGCTCCACATAAATAAAGTTTGTTTTTTAGCGTAAACTAACCGCCGGCGTCTGTTTCTGCACAGTTTCGTTATAAGAGGAGAGTTTACACGCAGAGCTACGTGGACGACAAGCAGCTGGCGAAGCTGCACACGAAGGTAAAACACTTCACGAACACCAGCTTTGTTGTCAAGAGTCGTAACTCACTGAGCTGAAGGAGATAATAACGCAGAATTATAACAGCGTAACGGTTCTCCCACTGTGAGCCACAGCGGCAGGAAGGTTTGTTGTTCCGCAGCTCAAGTGGAAAAAAAAAAAACAAAAACGACTCAATGTTTAAAGAGTTTAAATGAATATTAAGCAAATAAAAGAGCAGAAATAGCAACGCTGACGAACCAGCGAGGGAAGCATGTGTGTGTTTACAGTATATCTGCTGATAAACAGCAGCATGAAAAGGATCAGTAAAAGTGGCGGCGTTTGTTTCATCACCTCGACGCTGAATAAAGAAAACTCCAAGGTCGACGAGGAGAGTCGGCTGCTTCCTCACACTAACAGCCCTCGTGTCGGTTCGTTCTCAGGCCAACCTGAAGCGCTTTATGGAACATGTGCACCAGAAGAACGTGGAGAAGGTGTCCAAATGGCTGGAGAAAGGCCTGGACCCCAACTTCCACGACTCCGACAGCGGAGGTGAGTCGACTCAGACGTCCTTTAATTATCCACAAGAAGCAAAACTCACCGGTGACAGAATGTACGTTTACAAAGATCTACTGTACGAAATAAACACAATTAGAATAAAAACAGACGTTTCAACCAAGAATGAAGTTGCTGTTGTTGTGCAGAGAAGATGTAAGTTTTATTTAAATACACGAATTAGCATTTTTCACATCAGTCTGCGCTCAGTGACTCATAAAGACGAGTTTTTTTCTCTTCAGATTAAAAAACTAAAATCTGTTGTAGCTCAAAACGGCGCTCAGATGCTTTCAAGTTCCACCCCAACAACAAACAGCTCAAACACCACAAGGAGATCTTCACTGAATCAGTGTATCGCATTCAAATCGACTTTAAAAGCCTCGTTGTATCGAGCAGATGGCGTTTAAAAATCCCAAAGTCACAGACAAGAGATGTTGAAAATGACTCAATTAATTGCTGTTAACAGTTTAACCATTTACAAAGGCAGAAAAAGAAAAAGGTCATGATGTTGGTAAATGTCGACCAGCTGTAGTACCTGGTTGTTCCAGCAGGTGGAGCCTCTCACTGTTTAATCCTGTACAGATCAGAGGAGGCGACACTCAGACTACAGCTCATGGTGGCAGCAGAGAGCATTGTGGGAGTTTATCAGCAACGGGACCATGACAGAGACTCCTGTAGCTGTTACTGGTTTACACCCGTTAATCAGTCATTGATTGTTAATGCTGTTGACTGTCGGGTACGAACATTGTCTAAAGTTTATTTCTTTAATGCAGATGCACATGTTCGCCTCCTGATTGGGTCTAAACCGTCGCTAGTTGTTCCCTGATTCTTCGATCACGTGACTCTTTTCCGATCTGTTTTGCGATCAGCTGTTGTTGATCTTGTTGTCGTTGCAGCAGCTTCTGTACAGTTCAGGCGATTGCTGGTCTACCGGTTGTTGTTGTGGCTGCTTAGCTTTTCCTACAACTCACCAATCCCCTGCTCCATGTTTACCCCAACACACCCAGCATTTGTGTTTTCAGGTGTGTTATAAACTCGGAGATTATTTCTTCAGCGGTTTCATCTGGATGGAGATCATTTTCTGTTTAAAACAGCATTTAAAATGAAAATGTGTCAGAGTGGACGTCGCCCGAAACACAAACGCAGATGATTCATGACTGAAACCTCTTTGTTTCAGATCAAAATGACTCCTGACTCACTGGTGTAAGGCTGTAATTTACTCTCTAATTTACAGTTCAGGTTAAGTAATCGGTTTCTGCTGCAGCTTTCCAGACCTCAGTTTGACCTGCTGGTGGAAACACAGGCTTGTTGTATTTCTAAATTCTCCCAACGTTGTTCAGTTTTGGCCTCACAGCTGTGAAACTGTGACTGAGTTTGAGGATGATTATCTCAACCTCTGTCTTGCACAGTCAGACCTTCTACACAGCAGACCTTATTATCAAAGAGGGAAATAACTGGCTTGTATTTTTTAAACCAATCACAGCCATCTTGGGCGGAGCTAAGAACAGGATTTGCTGACAGTTTGCTAGCAGTGTCATCAATCCATAAAGGGTTAACAGACTCACTTTACACATGACTTGAGCTGTAAACTTAGTTCTGTTAGATGTTACTGAGACACAAGAAACTCTGTCCCAGTTGATCCAGTTTGTCTTAAACACTTAACCTCTAGTCGGAGGTCCTGAACCTCCTCAGAGTCTCTTTCATGGTCCCGTTGCTGCTGAACTCCCACAATGCTCTCTGCTGCCACCATGAGCTGTAGTCTGAGTGACGCCTCCTCTGGTCTCTACAGGATTAAACAGTGAGAGGCTCCACCTGGTGGAACAACCAGGTACTACAGCTGGTCTATGGTACATTTACTGACTTCACGAGCACATCCTACCCTCTAACAGTACATCTTACACTGTTCTACTGGAGCTTTACAACAAGGTTCCACCTACAGAACATTAAGGAACAGTTTGGATGCAGAAATGCGTTTATCTTCATGCAGAGCTGTTCAGGATTTGAATCTGGCGTCTCTCTGTGTTCAGAGTGTCCTCTGACTCTGGCTGTGCAGCTGGAGGAAAGCTGTGAGCTCATCAAGGTGCTTCGCAGTGGAGGAGCTCACCTGGACTTCCGGACCCGGGACGGCATCACGGCGCTGCACCGGGCCGTGCTCTGCAGGAACAGCGCCGCCCTCACGGTGAGCAAACACCACCGAGCAGATGCATGAGCCTCTGAGAGCGGTCGCTGTTAAACCCGACCTCCTGTCCTGGTCCTCAGACGCTGCTGGACCTCGGAGCATCTCCGGACTACAAGGACAGCAGAGGCCTGACGCCGCTGTATCACTCCGCCATGGTGGGCGGCGCCCCCTACTGCTGCGAGCTGCTGCTGCAGGATCACGCCACCATCGGTACGGAGGCTCGGCGGGGTCAAACCTCCGGCTGCCGCTGTTCTAACACCACGACTGTTATCCGGTTTTCATGTTTGTACTTTCTGTTCCTACTTTTTTTTTTTTTTTTGTGGAGCGCTGAAACAGTTCTTGTTGTCATGGTTACAGGGATGACTGATGAGAACGGGTGGCAGGAAATCCACCAGGTGACACACACACACAGTCAGATTACCTGCACTGATGACAAGTTCAGTCCCCGTACAATTATGATTTTGTGTGTGTGTGCGTGTGTGTGTGTGTGGGCGCATGTGTGTGCGTTCAGGCCTGTCGCTATGGTAACGTGCAGCACTTGGAGCACCTGCTGTTCTACGGCGCTGACATGAGTTCCCAGAATGCATCGGGAAACACCGCACTGCACCTCTGCGCTCTGTACAACCAGGTAACACACACTGAACACGCAACAGAACACACACACACACACGTGTAGCGTGTTCTTATCTACATGTCAAGTTTGGAGTCAGTGAAACATCTGCTGCTGCCGGTTTTGCAGGACAGCTGCGCCAGAGTGCTGCTGTTCAGAGGAGCCAACAAGGACATCAAGAACTACAACAACCAGACAGCTTTTCAGGTAAAAACTACAACACACCAGAGCTGCAGGAACCACAGGTAAGTACAGAGTCTGAAGTAGTATTCAGAATTTACAAAGAAGACTCTTTCATGTCAAAGCAACAACTAATTTCTACAAAGTGATGTCAAGTAACCAGAAATATGAAGCGTACTGTACGTGATTTAATAAGTGTTCACCTCCATAAAGTCACTAATTCAACTCAGCTCTAGTCAGTTGGTGCTACAAGTCTCACAGTCAGTGAAGTAAAGATCTCAGTGATTGTAGAATAAAGACTCGTGTATCTGGAAGGTCCACCACTGGTGGATCAGAACTCCTGGATAGAACTACACCATGAAGACTGAAGAACCCTCCAAGAACTCTGTGAGAAGGTTGTTGAGAAGCATCAGTCATGGGACGATACAAGAAAACATCTCTTGGAGTCCAGAAAAATCCATCATTAAGAAGTGGAAGGACTATGGAACATGAGTAGATCTGACTAGAGCAGGACGTCCTCAGAGCAAGAAGGAGACTAGTGAAGGAGGCCACCAAGACTCCTATGACTCCTCTAAAGGAGGTACGAGAAGGAGACTAGTGAAGGAGGCCACCAAGACTCCTATGACTCCTCTGAAGGACTTACCAGCTTCAGCAGCTCAGATGGAGAGACTGTTCATTCAACTGTCTGTTCTTCACCATCAAAGCTTTATGGGAGACAAAGAGAAAGACTCTGTTGGAAAAATCTCAGATGAAATCTGGACTAGAGTTCAGCAGAAGACATGTGGAGACTCTGGAGTCACCTGGAAGAAGGTTCTTTGGTCTGATGAGAACAAAAGCTTTTTTGCCATCAGACTAGACGTATGTTTGTTGGACACCAAACACTGAACATCATCACAAACACACCATCCTCACTGTGAAGCACGGTGGTGGCAGCAACAACCTGATGCAGTCTGCAGGAGAACTGAGATGTGGAGAAGACTTGTCTTCCATCAAGACAATGAACCGAAGCAAACAGCCAAAGCTCCACAGAGATGGTTTGAAGACAACAAGGTGAAGTTCTGGAGGCCCAGTCAGAGTCCAGACCTCAATCCAGCTGAGAATTAGAGTCTGGACCTGAAAAGTTCTGTTCCCTCATGATTCATGTGGAACCTGACAGAGTCTGAACAGTTTTTAAAGAAGAATGAGGTGAAGCTGCAGGGTCCAGATGTTCAGGCTGATTTTACATTTTGTAATTAATTGGTGATAAAATCCCTGAAATCACTGAAGTCTGTGTGATGCAAATGCAGCTCTTGAATTCACAACAACTTTTATTGTCCATCAACGTGATTCTGAGCTGTTTCATCTTAAAACGATTAAATATAAAACCAGGTGGAAAAACAGCCTGTGGAACATATTGAGGCTAATTTCCTTCAGTTTTATTTCACTCATGAGGAACAAAGCTCGTTTGTGTTGCTGTTGTGTGTCTGTGTAGGTGGCGATCATCGCTGGGAACTTTGATTTGGCAGAAATCATCAAGATCCACAAAACTTCTGACGTTGGTGAGTTTAAACACATTAAAATGGTGTTTGTGTGTCCGTGGTTGTGCGTCTGTGTTGCATCGCAGCAGTTGTATGCTAACTTTCTGCGTGTGTTTGCGTGTCTGTTTTGGTGTGTTTGCGTATAAGTAGTTCCCTTCAGAGAAACTCCGTCCTACACGAAGCGCCGCCGAGTCGGCGTTACCAGGACGACCGCAGGGAACGGCCTGTCGTCTCCTCGCTCCCTGATTCGCTCAGCCAGCGACAACGCTCTGGAAAGCCCCGCCTCCTCGCCAGGCCCCTCCCTCCAAAGCCTAGAGACGCACCACGACACGCACACACACTCGCTGCGACGACACACACGCCGCCTCAGGTAAACACACCTGCACAGGTAGACGCACACCCGGAACACACGTTTATGTGATGTAGCTCATCTGTACTGGTGAAGATTGTAACAATACTGGTGTAGTTAGCATAAACACTGATGTAGTTGACCTCTGTACTGGTGTTGATGGTCTGTATACTGGTGTTGATGGTCTTTATACTGATGTAGTTAGAATCAATACTGGTGTAAACTGTGTCTGTAGTGGTTAAGTTGGTAATAATACTGGTCTAGATGATCTCTATACTGGTGTAGTTAGTATCCATATTGGTGTAGTTGGTAACAACACAGGTGTTGATGGTCTCTATTCTGGTGTAGATGGTGTTTGTACTGGTTTATTTAGCGACAGTCTACCAGCTGCAGGACATCACTGCATGTAGACATGTGATCAGGTGGCAGCCAAGTCACAGAAACAACAGAGGCAGCCCTTAAAGAAGAAGAAATTACTCTTTGGGTAACGATGGAGTTTGATACATTTGGTTATTTCATGTTCGTTTACATAAATGTAGGAAACAACAGTAATCTGTAACTGGATACTAGCGTTGATCACGTAGAACCAGAAACATCGTGTCC